ATGGACGTTTTTATGCTCAAAAATTGCAATACTTTCGCTCCCGATACCAGAAAGCAACCGTATGTGTATGAGTGAAGTCTTATTTTTTCCACAAATTACTTTTTGGAGATATAGAGCTGTCTGACCTAGAACGTAGGAACAGAAAGCTGTCTGCCCATAATTAACTGCACTAATCATATCAAAACTCTATTTTCTTCCGATAACTACCACGAAACATAAACACGAGTCAAGCCGCCATATCACTGTGACAGTACCAGGCCACAACTGTGCCACATTACTCGTACCAGTCCACAAAGTACATAACGTACTTACCGTATTTCAGCTGAAAACAACATAGCGGCTTGGAAACGTTCAACTCGTATTGATCGTAGCTGTTGTGGAGGTATTATTCTGATTATTACAGGAAGATTCGTTTCACTTTTAGTTAAAAAATATCACCAGGACAAAAAGTAAGACAACTGTTGGCAAATAGCTTCGAGGTTTCACTTCTTAATCAGTTTCTCCGAACCTGAAAGTCCACAATAACAACCAACTATACAAGTCGCTAGCTGGCGACCAGCTATTAAATTCTGGTCGCCAGGACTAAATTTTTAGTCGCATTGGCGACCAGGAAGGCGTAATTTCGGACCCTGTCAAGCCTATAAGGAAAGCTAGTCTATCATAACCTTAACCCATTGACACTCCTGGGAATTAATATTTGCTGAAAAATGCGCTCTGAAGCCCCCTAAGTTGAGCCATAATCTGGTTATTGTCTGGCTTCAAAGCACAAAAACTGCCCCAAAAGAAAATAAGGGCAAAAGATTTTGAGATTTTAGTCTAGCTAGTACTTACAGAAAATCTCTTTCTCGTTCTTGCTTTGGTATCCTTTGTCAGTGCATCCAAGTAAGGATCTGTTATCACAACTTCTTTGCTTCTAAGCCCCGATCTATGGCTGCTACCAACAGCATAGCTGGCACTATGTGTTGAATGGGGGAATGCTCCATGGGCACTTCTTGAGCCTGAGCTGGAATTATGCCTGTCTGCACTGTTAGCAGCTTTCTGTAAAAACAAGACTTAGTTACCAGGCATTATCATAACTATAGCAAAATTCTTGTGTTTTAATTAAAAAAATCCTAAAATATCACAAATTAATTATATAGTTTTGATTAATTGAAAACAGAACTTCATTCTGTTGGATGATTGAGGCTGTGCAGATTCTTGACATGTCTTGGTTTGACTGTTGTCAAAATTGCTCCAGGAAAGGTCGTCGGAGATTCTAATGGGGACAAGTTCTTCAGTATTTGGTATTGTTCAAAAACAAACTGGAATCCCGTGGAATGGTAAGTTCTTTTTACAAAAAAAATCTGCAACATTACATTTTCACAACAATTTATGAGTTGCAAAGGTTACATGTCACAAAATTGCCATGAAAATTATGGCAAAAGTAAACTGATGCAAAAGTGTTTGAAATATGATCTAGATACAATCATGTACAAGTTAAGTGAAAAAATGTATGTTTTTGCACATACACCCAACATGTCATGCAAAGTATGCATCTTAGACTCACCAAAGTACCAGGCTTCATAATATAACTGTTATAGATTAGAAAAGTTTTAATTCAATATTTCAATCCGGCTACAGTATGAACATCAACTTTAAACTTTTAAAACACTCTATGAAGAGTGTAGGACTTAGAAGTCATTAACTGGAAACGATAATTTCCAATAACTTGAATAACAACTACACTCTAACTAACTTTAGATTGAAGACTTATTAAATTGTTTAATTAAGGAAACGTTGGTTCTATTTTAGTAGACCATTTAAATCCAATTTTTCAAGACAAACTGTAAACATGAAAGGAAATTTGTTGCATAATGATAAAGCATATCTCTTCCATTTAGAAAAACCTAATTTTTATTTAACTCTAGTTCATCTAAACCTAACTAAGTGATTGAAGTGAGATAAAGAAAGTCAGTTCACAAGTCTGGCCATGAAATATGCTGATTTACAGAAGTGTAATCGGTTGTGTTAATGGGGTTCGAAACTTACCAACCATGACAAGTCTGCAGTTGCAGTTCGTTTATCAGCGACAAGCTGTTTTCTTAAACCTTCATTATGTAGGTGAGACATGATGTCAGAGCATTAGAATGAAAGTTTGTCTAAGAGAAGCAAAGCCACTTGAAAAGTACGAACGATTCGATTGCTCAACTTGGTCTCGATCGAAACAACAGCGCGTTTCCTAGTGACGTCACCACGTATTGGAATTCAAGGAATGCGCGCGAAATGCGGGAAGGGCCTCACTGAGCCTCACTCTCAAGTCTAGCTTTTAGCCGCTTGGACTAAGATCGGACCCCAAGTTATTAAACTTGCTGCAAACTTTACCTGGAATCTCCTGATATAAGCGAATTATGAAAGTATTTTTTGCTTACCTTTCACACTGTCACTGAGAGCCGACATAACCTGAAGCAGCTGAAGCCGGGCCTGAATTGACTTCATCGCCAGAGCCGCAATCTCAAAGTTCGCAAATATTCATAATAATCAGTCTAATCGGGGATAGTTGTTGATGTGCCATCCTGTGTCTTTTTTCTTTGTTTGTTTCTTCTCGGGTTCACTGTGAACGTTCATTCTTGACCCTGGGATCATGGAGTCTAACCATTTAAGAAAAAAAACTGTACGGATGAAAAAGAACTGTAAGAACTGTAAGAAAACAGCTTGTCGCTGATAAACCTCACTCGAAAAAGTCGGAATGTGTGCTTATCCACAGAGGATCGTTCACTGGTCCACCCTCTCCCATTTTCCTTGAACGGTACTGCCTAAATTGGGTCCATTATAGCAGACTCTTGGGCGTTAACGGACCTCGCATGTCAGTGAACTAAAAAAGAACTTTGCGAACAAATACGTTGCAGGGGAGCAAGGATCTTTTACAACTTTCTCGAAGAACTTTTCCAAGGATATGCCTTCGGGGGAACAGGGGCGGATCTAGGGGGAGGGTGCAGGGGGTGCGCACCCCCCCCCCTGGATGACCTGCGGCCGCTTTCTAATTAACACTGTGCAGTCGCTTGACAGACATACAAAATCTGCTCTATCGTTTGATATGTATTCTTAGCAGTTCACATTATGTTATTTCCTAGTCAAAAGCCCTCTTCTTCGTATTCGCTTTTAAAATTTTTTACGTCATCGGTCAGTTAGTGGTGCACCCCCTCCTAAGAAAAA